AACATGCTCTAATATTACTGATCTCATTCTGCCACCAGTTAGTTCCCCGTGGGTGCCGTTCATTATCACAAAAGGTTATACTTCATTAAAAGGTAAAGGTTCCCTTGCTGGAAATCCAGTCGAATCCGACTCTAGGGTTGCGGTGCTCATCTCCGTTTCAAAGCCGAAGAGCCAGCGCTGTCCGAAGACGTTTCCGTGGTCATGTGGCCGGCACGACTAAACACTAAGGCGCATGGAACGCTGTTCCCTTCCCACCGAAGCGGTACCTCTTTATCTACTTGCAATTCCTTGCTTTCGAACTGCTAGGTTGGCAGGAGCTGGAACTAAAGACGGGAGCTCACTCCATCATGCGGCACACTCGGGTCTCGAACCGCTGAATGACCGACCTTCCACAGCCTGCAGTTCAGCGTCTTAACCACTTGAGCCACCGCAGCTCCTTTATACTTCATTACTCAATGAGTAATTAAATTTGTGGGATTAATTGGCGGTGGGTTCAGTGATGGCCATGAACATCGATAGCTTTAAAAGGGGGTTCGGCAGGTTCACGGAGGAGAGGTCCATCAGTGACCACTCACCATGTTAAGTAAAGGGAACGTCCACATTCAGAAGCAGTAAACCTCTGGATCCCAATGCTAGGAGGCAGCATCGGGAAAACCTGGGCCTCTGTGTCTTATTGGCTGCTTATGTTTATTGATCATCTGCCTTTCTCACTGAGACTTAAGTGCAAGTCAACACAGTCAGCAGGATGGGACATCCCAGTAAGCAGTACAATAGGATTTGGGTAGGAGAAATCCGAACAGAGCTGAAACAAAATATAAGCGCTAACATGACATGTTAAACAGGAAGTGGTGGCGGCTACAAGCATGGACGGCTTCAAAAGGGAATTGGATAAGCACATGGAGCAGAGGTCCATCGGGGGCTATTAGCCACAAGGTATAGATAGGGGCTCTGGGGCAAGGGATGCTCTGTAGTCTTGGTGCTTGGGGGGGGGTCAACAGTGGGAGGGCTCCTAGTGTCCTGGCCCCACTGGTGGACCTCCTGATGGCCCCTGTTATTTCTGGCCACTGTGTGATACAGAGTGTTGGACTGGATGGGCCTTCTTTGGCCTGATCCAACATTGGCATCTCTTATGTTCTTATGTTCTTAAACTAGGGATCCCCGATATGGTGCCCACCAACACGTTTCCTGTCCTGGTGCCCACAAAGTGTTTTTAGAAAATGTCTGTAGCCACGTGGAGCTCTTGCCCAGAAGAAGAAGAAGAGATTGGATTTATACCCCGCCCTTCACTACCCAAGGGAGTCTCAGAGCGTCTTACAAACTCCTTTCCCTTCCCCTCCCCACAACAGACACCCTGTGAGGTAGAAAAAGAAGAAGAGATTGGATTTATACCCCGCCCTTCACTACCCAAGGGAGTCTCAGAGCGGCTGACAAACTCCTTTCCCTTCCCCTCCCCTCCCCACAACAGACACCCTGTGAGGCAGGTGGGGCTGAGAGAGCTCTTTTGAGGACTGCTCTTTTTCAAGAACAGCTCTGACAGAACTGTGGCTTGCCCAACGTCATCCAGCAGCCGCAAGTGGAGGAGTGGGGAATCAAACCCGGTTCTCCCAGATTGGAGTCCGCGCACTTAACCGCTACACCAAACTGGCCTTCTGATTGGCCATTGAAGATCTTATTGGCTGTGCAAATTAAAACAACGCTGCTGCAGTGGGCGTTGCCACCATAGTGTTGGTTTTATTTTGTCCCACCCCTTTCCCAGTGTGTTTTTACTTTATTTCTCTTCTCCTCTTCACTTGGGATTCCTCTGTTTATCTAGCTCTGCCTCCTGCAGCAGCCATTTCATAATTCCACCCACCACCCTGCGTGAGAATTTCAAAGGGCGCCTACAGGATCAAAAAGGTTGGGGACCCCTGCATTAAACGCTGCAAAAATGACACAGACAGCTGGATCGTACTTACAGCAACAGTCTTATTTGCTACGTAAACTGTCAGTAAAGTAAAGAATCCCAGGATTATGGACTAAGTTTTATAGAGATGAATTGCCAAGGGTAAATGCTACTGTGGAAGCATCCTGTTGTAAGAGATCATTACCACATCCCTGTTGAAACTTTGAAAGAATTATTGTAAGGATAAAATGTGTTGGGAGGGGTGTACCTTGCTAAAAGGGCAGAATAAGATATAATAATATAAACCCTGGCGCTTGAAAGAGGTTGCATTTCATTGACCAGGTCTTTCGTGTGTGGAGGCACACTTTTCCAAAAACCTGGAACACAGACAGGCAGTGATGCTCTGTATTCTTGGTGCTTGGGGGGGGGAGTGGGAGGGCTTCTGGAGTTCAGGCCCCACTGGTGGACCTCCTGATGGCACCTGGGTTTTGGCCACTGTGTGACACAGAGTGTAGAACTAGACAGGCCACTGTCACCCTGATCCAACGTGGTTTCTCTTACATTCTTATGTCTAGGGCAGTGATGCTCTATCTTCTTGGTGCTTGGGGGGCATCAGTGGGAGGGCTTCTGGAGCTCTGGCCCTGCTGGTGGACCTCCCGATGGCACCTGGGTTTTAACCACTGTGTGACACAGAGTGTTGGACTGTGTGGGCCATGGGCCTGATCCAATATGGCTTCTCTTATGTTCTTATAGATGGAACACTCTGTCTGGGGCAGTGATGCTCTGTGTTCTTGGTCCTTGTGGGGGGCAACAGTGGGAGGGCTTCTGGAGTCCAGGTCCTCCTGATGGCACCAGGGTTTTGGCCACTGTGTGATGCAGATTGGATGGGCCTCCGGCCTGATTCAACACGGCTTCTCTTATGTTCTTATTCTGGTGCCTTATCCTCCTATTGCTAGCCAGTCTTTTGTTTTACATATTTGAGCAATTTAGCTTGACTGTCCTGGGAATGTTTTTTGCCAGTCCCCTATGAACAGCTCTGCTCCTGTTCTTTTTGAGTGTAGTTTGCGTGCAAGAGATCTGGGGAAGAATGAGCTGGTAGATGTTCCATAGAGAGGCGTAGAAGGTCTGTGAACCACTCAGCTAGAATGGGGCATACCTGGTAGCAGCCCTGGGAGGGCTGGACTATACCAGGGCTTGGCAAATCCCAGGCACCAGGTTGCCATGGCACCTGGAAATTTCATGGTGGCACCTAGTGTTTTTATTGTAACGTCCCTTCCTGCAATTAGTGCATGAAGCTTTTTTCACCGCTTGTATAACTTTCCACCATTCAGAGGAGGAGGAGGATGAATTCTCTTCTGAACCAGTCGCTTCCTATACCAGCTGTAATATATACCCCAGAGAGCACTATGGTCTGGGTCTCAAAATCGGTTGACCAGGCTAGCTGCTACTAGGGCCGGGGCCTTTTCGGTGGCAGCCCCTACCTGGTGGAACAAGCTCCCGGAGGAGATCAGGCCCCTGCGGGACCTTTCGAAGTTCCGCAGGGCCTGCAAGATGGAGCTCTTCCGCCAGGCATATAATTAGGGGCCGCCGCCATAGTGCACGGCCCGCAAAGTCGTCATTGAGCAGCTGCCATGAGAGTGATGAGCAGAATAACATCTAAGCACTGTATGCTGGGAGCCGGAAACCCATCTGAAAGCATTCCTTCTGCTTGAATTTTAACTCCCGCCAGCACTTTGTAACGTATTAATTTTAACTGTTGTGTTTTAATTTGTATTGTGTATGTTTTTATCATGTATTTATGTCATTGGAAGCAGCCCTGAGCCTGCTTTGCGAGGGGGGCGGGGTATAAATCTGACAATAAATAAATAAATAATCTTCCATTAAAGGCAGAGCTTTTTAACACAATAATGGAATCGTGAAAACTTGGGGAGAAGTTAGACTAGGGTAGAGGTTGGCTTTTTGTTGTGGCTTTCCACAAACGGCGCAAAAGTGAATTATTCAAGAGGGCTTTTCTAGACAGGCAATACAGTAAGGTAAAGGTAAAGGTTCCCTTGCTCGAAAGCCAGTCGAATCCGACTGTAGGGTTGCAGTACTCATCTCCGTTTCAAAGCTGAAGATCCAGCGCTGTCTGAAGACGTTTCCGTGGTCATGTGGCCGGCATGACTAAACACCAAGGCGCACGGAACGCTGTTACCTTCCCACCAAAGTGGTACCTCTTTATCTACTTGCAATTTCTTGCTTTCGAACTGCTAGGTTGGCAGGAGCTGGAACTAGAGATGGGAGCTCACTCCATCATGCAGCACCCGGGTCTCGAACTGCTGAACTACTGACCTTCCACAGCCTGCAGTTCAGCGTCTTAACCACTCGAGCCACCGCAGCTCCTTAGTCAATACGGTAGCACTGTACAAAAGGCGTCACAAAAGTACTTGGATAAATTATTGGGGACTGTGGTCTGTACTACTGTGTATAGTTTGTTGTGGGTTGTATCCCGTTGTGTAATTTTGCTTCACTGAATGTGTCATGTTAACACTTACTGCCTTGCTTCAGTTATGTTTTTAGACTTCTGGTTTGTTCCACAACCCTAATCCCATTGCACTGTTTATTGAATGTCCCGTCTTGCTGGTTATATTCGATTCACTCTGTAAAATCCTCCTTGAGTCCAAGTGAGAAAAGTAGACTATAAATAATGTGATAAATAAAAGACAACCAGCATTACCCCTGTAGTTATTTAAATATTACATTATGTTAGCCATAGTTTTAATAAAATTAGAAGAAACTGTGAAGAGGTTGGGATTAGGTTTTGTGGTAGGAAAAATTAGAACATCTGATCATTAAAATACAAAGCCCTTGGGAGGTCTGGTTCCTCAGTTTTGGGGCTAGCTCCTAGGTCTGAAGAAAATGTGTCAAGGCCAGGACTGCACACGCAAGGCAAGTAGAAATGTCCTCTTGATCTGTTAAATATGTTCTTCTTCCTAACTAAAGTTGAGTCCTGTCCATTTCTGTTTCTCACAGATCCATCACCGAAGTGCCTAACAGAAGCTTTCTTTGGTGAGGACCAAGACATTTGCCGTCAATAGTCCTGGGACTTTTTGAGAAGCCACCCACGTCAAAAATGGCAGAAAATAAGGAAAGGAATACTAAGAATACAGACGTGAGACCAAAAACCAGCCGGAGCAGAAGCGCAGACAGGAAGGATGGCTATGTATGGAGCAGGAAAAAGCTTTCCTGGTCCAAAAAGAGTGACAGCGGTTCCGATGCTGAAACAGCAAGTACTTCAGGGAAATCTACTTTTAGTTTGAGGAACCAGGAGCGGAAACACAGCTGTTCCTCGACGGAGCTGGACGTGGAACGGTCGTGCGGCCACAGGCTCTTAGGCCGGTCCCTGAAACAGAAACTGCAAGATGCCGTGGGCCAGTGTTTCCCTATCAAGAACTGTAGCAGCCGGCATTCTTCGGTGCTTCCGTCCAAGAGGAAAATCCATATCAGCGAGCTTATGCTGGACAAGTGTCCCTTCCCGCCACGGTCCGAGCTGGCTTTCCGTTGGCATTTGATCAAGCGGCACACTGCCCCCATAAAACAAAAATCGGAAAGCTGGCTCAGCGTGGCGTCTTCCCACAGTGAAGGGAAGGACGGGGAGGCTGAGAACGCAGATGGAGGCGGGTCGGCGGTCCTGCAGCCGTGCGATTTCAGCGACGGCGCTTCCTGCAGTTGCGGCCCCCAGGGCGAACCCGCCGCAGGTAGGCCAGCGAAGAACAGAGAAGAGAGCGACATGGACTCTGATGACGAAGCGGTGACGCTTTGCACCAGCTCCAGGAAGAGAAACAAACCACGGTGGGACCCCGACGACGAGCTGCTGCAACTGGAGTCGCCTCCTAAATATCACACCCAGATCGACTACATCCACTGCCTCGTCCCTGACCTCCTCCGGATCAACAACAACCCGTGCTACTGGGGAGTGATGGATAAGTACGCCGCAGAAGCACTCCTGGACGGAAAGCCGGAAGGGACTTTTTTGCTACGAGACTCTGCTCAGGAAGATTACTTGTTCTCCGTGAGCTTCAGGCGTTACAGTCGCTCCCTGCACGCCAGGATCGAGCAGTGGAATCACAACTTCAGCTTCGATGCCCACGACCCCTGCGTCTTCCATTCCCCTGACATCACCGGGCTCTTGGAACATTACAAAGACCCCAGCTCCTGTATGTTTTTTGAACCGCTGCTCTCGACCCCCTTAAACAGGACTTTCCCCTTTTCTCTTCAACATATATGCAGGACTGTGATTTGTAACCATACGACATACGACGGGATAGATGCCCTTCCGGTCCCTCCGTCTGTGAAGTTGTATCTGAAGGAATATCACTATAAGTCGAAAGTCAGAGTCCTCAGGATCGATGTACCAGAGCAACAAACCTAAAAAATTAGTTTGAAGGGTTTTTTTCTTGTTTTGTTTCTGTTCATTAGAGCATTGGAAAGTTAGAGGGTCTGTCTTTCTCACTACCATTTTTTATTCTGGAAAAATATTTATCTTCCATACAGATCTCCACCCCGGTCTTATGATCAAAATGGGTTTCTATTCCCCTGCCCCACCAGGCAGATCATTAGCGAAGACACAAAGAAATCTGCGGATTTATTGATAATAATACCTTGCAGGGGGTTATGGAATTTCAAGTAGGTTTTTTAAAACTTTTCTCTCAAGGCTAATCTTTTAGATTTTAAGCTAAAATCCAAAACGGAATTTGTCTTTTATATACTGTGATTTATAATACGGTACAGGCATGTTTGGAACACTGTATGCAACGGCTACACAAGAGCGACCAATTTGTATTTTATACCTTTCTCTGGAAAATGAGTACTTTGTCCTCTCTATAAGAAGTAAAATTAATGTCTATTTATAATTCTGGCTGCTACCGTGTGAGTTCTTAATCTGCCTCTTACACTGCCTCTTTATCATTCTATTATCACTGAGGGGCTGCCTGTCCTTTGAGGTCCCGTGTGACCACAATCTGGCGTTTCGCGTCGAAATCACTTGCATTTTGGATCATATTTCTTTTCCCATTCAAACGCGTGCAAGTGCTTAGGTTTTGGGATATCTACTGAGAATGCCGAAATGATCATTTAACTGTATTAAACGACTTCACAGTGAAGTTTTTGCTTTTTGCCGTCAAGTTGTTGCTGGCGTATGGTGACCCCATAGGGTTTTCAAGGCAAGAGAGATTCGGAGGTGGTTTGCTATTGTCTTCCTCCTAGTAACAACTCTGGACTTGTTTGGTGGTCTCCCATCCAGTTACTAACTGGGTCTGACCCTGCTTAGCTTCTGAAATCTGATGAGAATCGGGCTAGCCTGGGCCCATCCGTATTCCCTCTAAACTGAGTTAGTGTGAGCTAGCTCATGGTTTTTTATCTTCCGGCTCAGACATTTTTGTCTTAGCGCAGGAAGGATGGGACTCCAGAGCAAATTAATTTATGCAGCAGCCAAATCACTCACTCACAACTTTAATGCCAGTAGCTCACAAAGTAGAATTTTTGCTCACAAGACTCCACAGCTTAGAGGCAGCATGTGTCAGGGACTAAAGCTGTGGTCACACACACTAAATAATCTACTTTCAATGCACTTTCCAACTGGATTTCGCCAGTTCACACAGTAAATTAATTATCATATGGCATTGTGTGTAGAATAGCCAGGAGATCCTAAGATTGTCTGGCAGCCAGAAGTTCTAGCTCTTTAGCGTTACACACCACTAGGTGGCGAGCTAGGCTTGTTTTTAAGGCTAGAGGCATTTCAGAGGCAGTTTGCCATGGCCTGCCTCTGCGTCACAACCCTGGCCCTTCCAAATACTAGCCACGGCTGACCCTGCTTAGCTTCCAAGATCTGATGGGATCGAGCTAACCTGGGCTATCCAGGTCGTGCCTGTTTTGCTAGGAACTACAGGGCAATCCTGAAGAGAGTTACATCCGTTGAAGTCAGTAGGCTTAGAAGGCTGTAATTCCATTTTGGATTGCACTACAAGACCTGGAGCTTTCAACAAGATAGGTATTGAGGTTGTATGTTTGGTGTATGTGGTGAAGTGCGCGGACTCTAATCTGGGAGAACTGGGCTTGATTCCCCACTCCTCCGCTTGCACCTGCTGGATGACCTTGGGCAAGCCATAGTTCTGGCACAGCTGTCCTTGGAAAAGAGCAGCTTCTGTCAGAGCTCTCTCAGCCCCACCTACCTCACTGTTCCCTCTAAGCTGTGGCGTTTTCTGTGCAAAAATTCTACTTTGTGAGCTACTGGCATTAAAGTTGTGAGCGAGCGATTTGGCTACTGCATAAATTAGTTTGCTCTGGAGCCATCCTTCCTGCGCTAAGACAAAAATGTGTGAGCTGGAGGCTAAAAAACTGTGAGTTAGCTCACACTAACTCAGCTTAGAGGGAACACTGCTCACAGGGTGTCTGTTGTGGGGAGGGGGAGGGAAAGGAGACCGTAAGCCACTCTGAGACTCCTTTGGGAAGTGAAGGGTGGGGTATAAATCCAATCTCTTCTTCTTCTTCTACATGCAAACTGCATGTTCCAGTTCCATATGTGCTACTGCAACTAAGGTTCAAATCAGCTGGGGAAGCCATAAGCTAATCTACACAAGTCATTACTTCCATAGATCCTATGCAGTCCCCCCACACACACACACTTTTTTCCTACCCAAGTCAGGCAAGTCTTTCCCCAGATCCAACCTTTCCTAAATCATGCCCTTTCTGTTCCTTGCACCCAACATTAAACCTTGCTGCTCGCCTCTTACGGTTTGCAGAAACTTGGTCCTCCAAGTCAAAAAATTTCTCTCGTGGCTCAGCTACTGTTTAAAATCCCAAACAAAAATACTGACTCAGAGGCACGGATGGTGCCTGTCATAACTATTTCATCAAGTCCTGATTTGTTAATTTAAATGAGGCTATGAAACAGCTAAGACGCTGCAGCCGGTAAAAAAAACAGTTTTAAAACCATTAATGGCAGCCGTTTATAATCAAGACAGTCCAGGGCTGCCGAAGAAATTTGAGCAGCAAACTGAAGGACGCACTCCAATCAAGCCCAGTAAATTAAATAAACTTCAACAAGCCGCAGAAGCCTAGGCAAAACACAGAATTTTTAACCTGGTGCCAAAAGGGTTTGCTGTCAGTCAGGGAAGGGTGGTCCACAAATGAGGTGCCACAACAAAAGAGGCCCTGCTCTTAATAGCTACTTACCTCGCTTTGGAGGACAGGGACGCTCGGAGCAGAGCCTCAGATGAAAATCATAGTCCTTGGGCTGACTTGTATGGGGGAGCGAGTCTTACAGACCCCTGAGTGGACTGGCACCAACTCTTTGAATTGAATCTAAAAACTGATTGGTAGTCTACGACGTTTGTATAACACCATCAAATTACACTACCCTGTTGCCTCACTTTGAACCATTAGAACCTTCTTTGGAGGCTTTCAGACAGAGGCTAGATGGCCCTCTGACAGCAATGCTGATTCTGTGAACTTAAGCAGATCATGAGAGGGAGAGCAGGAAGGGTGGCCTCAGTGCTTAGTTCTTGTGACCTTTTCCTATATGCCCATGGAAATGCTGATCGCCACTTTTGGGCCAGGAAGCAGTTTTCTCCAGGCTAGTTTGGACAGAGATCTTGGAGGGTTTTTAATTTGTTTTGTTTTTTACCATCTTCTGGGCATGGAACAGGGGTCACTGGGGGGGGGGGGGGGGTTTTTGAATTTTCTGTGCATGGGGGGTTGGACTAGATGACCCTGGAGGTCCCTTCCATCTCTTAACATTCTATGAACTAATACCCAAGTTGTCTTCTCTTTGGATGCCCCAGGCTAACCTGATTACCTCAGATCTCAGAAGCGAAGTGTCGTGGATACTGGCTCTGCTGAAGCTGACTGTTCCTCCGATGAGGAGGAGGACCCATGGAGCAACCCAGCCTCCTCTGGAGTCAGCCCAGCAGAGGCACCCTTAAACCAGTGTTCCCTCTAAGCTGAGTTAGCGTGAGCTAGCTCACAGTTTTTTTAGCCTCCGGCTCGCAGATTTTTGTCTTAGCTCAGGAAGGGATGGCTCCAGAGCAAACTAATTTGTGCAGTAGTCAGATCGCTCGCTCACAACTTTAATGCCAGTAGCTCACAAAGTGGAATCTTTGCTCACGAGACTCCACAGCTTAGAGGGGGCACTGCCCTTAACAGCACCTGAGGAAAAAGAGGCCCCAGGAGGTGCAGCCAGAGGGAGAGACTGATCCAGAGCCTGGCCCAGCACCCCACCGATGGAGACACCCCCAGGCCAGAATCCCCACCTAGTTCTCCAGAGTGTCCCAGACGCAAGGCACGCCAGTGTCTGGAGGTGCGGGAGCAAAGGGAGAGTGCCAGACTATTGCTCTTGCAAAGGCAACGCAAGAGGCTGTGAGTCTTGATAGATTGACTCCCAGGGGAGGGAGGACCTGGTCACAAGCACCCCCCACGCACCTGCCTCAGCGCGGAAGCAACCGTGTATGCCTGGATCTGATCCTGGCTTGTAGCAACCGCTCCCCTGCTCCTAGCTCCTGCAACCTTTGACTGACTTCCCGGCTTTCTGACCTTCGGCTCCGTTGTTTGACTCGATTTCGCACTGCGCATCCAGTTTCTAGTGCATGGTAACCGCAGTGACCGGCTGAGCCAGCACACTAAGCAGGGTCAGTCCTGGTTAGAATTTGGATGGGAGACCCACCGAGGAAGTTGGGGATTGTTACACGGAGGCAAGCAACAGCAAAGCATCTCTGTAGAGGCACCTCTTCATGGCAGACAGAAAGTCCCAGGTTCAGTTCCCGCCATTTCTAGTTGAAAGGACCAGGCAGTAGGTGATGTGAAAGACCTCTGCCTGAGACTCTGACATGCAGAAAGTCTCAGGTTCAATCCCCGGCATCTCCAGTTTAAATATGTGGCAGTAGGTGATGTGAAAGACCTCTGCCTGAGACTCTGGCATGCAGAAAGTCCCAGGTTCAGTTCCCGCCATTTCTAGTTGAAAGGACCAGGCAGTAGGTGATGTGAAAGGCCTCCGCCTGTGACCCTGGCATGCAGAAAGTCCCGGGTTCAATCCCCAGCATCTCTAGTCGAAAGGACCAAGCAGTAGGTGATGTGAAAGACCTCCGCCTGAGAACTTGGCATGCAGAAACTCCGGGGTTCAATCCCCGGCATCTCCAGTTGAAAGGACCAGGCAGTAGGTGATGTGAAATACCTCCACCTGAGAGCCTGGACAGCTGAGTAGACAACACTGACCTTGATGGATTCATCATAAAAATGTAAGAGCAGCCAAATGTTGGATCAGGCCAATGGCCCATCCAGTCCAACCCTCTGTCACACAGTGGCCAAAAATACCAGGTGCCATCAGGAGGTCCAGCAGTGGGGCCAGGACACTAGAAGCTCTCCCACTGTTGCCCCCCCCCCCCAGCACCAAGAAGACAGAGCATCCTTTGCCCCAGATTAAGAGCTCCTATCTATCCGTTGTGGCTCATAGCCACTGATGGACCTCTGCTCCATGTGTGCCTCCAATTCCCTCTTGACGCCGTCCATGCTTGTAGCTGCCACCCCCTCCTGCCAGTCTAAGCAGACCATACTGACCTTGACGGTGTGAGGGTCTGATTCAGCACAGAGAGCCAGCGTTGTGTAGTGGTTAAGAGCAGCGGACTCTAATCTGGAGAAACCGGGTTTGATTCCCCACTCCTCCTCCGTGTGAAGCCTGCACGGTTCCAGTTCTCTCCAAACTCTCTCAGCCCCAGCTCCCTCACCAGGTGCCTCTTGTGGGGAGAGGAAGAGAAAGGCGATTGTAAGCCGCTTCGAG